TTTCGTGTTAATTTGTGGCCACAAGTTCTGTTTTCACTTGCACTCACTGTTATGAGGTTCTTTCTCCCCCTGTGGCTCCTCTGCCTCTCCTCTCTGGCAGGACTTTGAGGAGGACCCCCGCGCCCAAGGGGCTCGTGGTCATCGCCGCTCTGTCAGCAGAGGCTCCTACCAGCTACAGGCCCAGATGAACAGAGCCGTCTATGATGAGAGGTACCAATGAGAGTGCCAAAAAAAAGATCCTCAGTTTGCATCCAGCATCTTGTCTCATTGCCTTGAGCGATTCAATTCTTTATAATTTATTTCTCCTTAGAGCTGTTGCATTTTTAGGATTTACTGGCCGTAATTCTTGTTTGGGTGCACTGAGTAATGATCAGATCTCTTAATATTGAGCTGTCAGCCGTATGCAAGGCTTGTGAGGTGTGTTGTATTGATTATATGCTTACATGGTGGTTTTTACTTCTGACCGCAGGCCTCCGGGCAGTTTGGTGCCCACCTCAGTGGCAGAGGCCAGCCGTGCCATGGCAGGAGATACAACATTGAGTGAAAACTATGCTTTCGCTGGCATGCACCACATATTTGACCAGCATGTAGACTCTGCTGGTACGTAAATGACTTTATAATCATGGTAATCCTTTTGTATACGTAAACATCAACATTTATGTCACTCCGTCCTCATATTTTTGTTCTTCAAGTTCCACGATTGCAGTTCGCCAATGATGACAAGCACCTCCTTGCTTGCTGCTCTCTGGATGGCACCCTGTCCATTATGACGCTGTCTCCACCCCCTCCAAGTGTGAAGGTGACCCTGAAAGGCCACGGAGGTCCCGTCACAGACTTTGCCTGGTCTCTGAGCAATGACATCATTGTGTCAACGTCACTCGATGGGACACTGCGTATTTGGAACACAGAGGACGGTCGGTGCATCCGAGAGGTCAGAGACCCAGAATCCAGCGAGTTGCTCTGCTGCACCTTCCAGCCCATGAATAATAACCTTACTGTGGTGAGTCTCTTTACAGACATGCTGTCATTTTTGCATGCTTTAGTACTGATTCTGTTGTACCACCAAATGCAAAGGACATATTCAGTTGCAGGTACCATTGGAAAATATCTAAGAACTTACAACAAGATTAGAAAAAATGCTCATTGTTTCCTGCTCTATTTGATGAGTATTTTTTAGGTCGCTAACAAAGGATTTTTCGTGTTCATCTTCTCAAGTATGTAATTTATGAGTAATTTGTTTTCTTATGGCATAATGCTTCTAATATTTTGACAGATTTTTGTCAAACATTACTCCCCTCACTCGCAATTTTAGATTATTTACTTTTAGGTTACTAACAACAAAGTCCTGATAATATAGTTTTAGAAGCAGGCAACTAATGATCAAAGAGATTTTTTTCAAATGTCTAGCCACTACATGCACTACTGGAGTCAGCCATGTGAGTCTGTTCACAGCAGACTTAAATTTTCCAACTGATCACGAATCAAAGGATGTCACACAGAATTTTGACATTTTAGAGGTCTATACTTCAATCCCAAATTACATGCAATTTTCATCTTTGCACAGTATTCCAGATATTTTTCTATTTTTGTTAATGAAATATACTGACAAAACTGTGCAGGTCGAGGCAATAAGCTCCAAATAATAGCATTTTTTAGTCAATTCTCAATAACTGCATAAATGTAAATTATGGCACTGAATATCAGTTTTAGTCACTGAAACCAAGGTGGTAAATGTATTGGATCATTTTGATTTGACTTAGCCGTGTGATGACAAAACTGATGAGTATCATGTAAAATGAAAGCAGAGTTGTGGACAGCAGTGTCTATTTACGCCTCATTAAATTAAACACAAGGGTGATGGATTTGGTTTACACTTGTTAAATTGCACCAGCAAAAAACACTACAACCAGTTCATTTCCAAGTCAGTGTCTGTGCTCCTCTGTGGAAATAATGACGGTTCTCACTCGAAGCTCTGTGTTCCAGGTGGGAAACAGCAAGCACCACCTGCAGGTGGTTAACATCTCCACTGGGAAGAAAGTGAAGGGGGGCTCCAGTAAGCTGACAGGCCGCGTGCTGTCTCTCTCCTTTGATGCTCCAGGGAGGATCCTTTGGGCTGGTGATGACAGAGGCAGCATCTTCTCCTTCCTCTTTGACATGGCCACAGGTACGCTCGCATTTCCATTTAGAAGGGCACTAAGTGTTCACTGACCACATTACAAATTCTGATGAGTTTTTCACCGACTAAAACGGCTGATGTGTCTCTGTTGGTCTCTGCTGGTTCTCCCCCTGCCCCCACCACTCGCTAACCACAGGGAAGCTAACCAAAGCCAAGCGTCTGGTGGTGAGTGAAGGCAGCTCCATCTGCAGCATTTCTGCTCGGTCCTGGATTAGCAGAGAGGCCAGAGACCCCTCCCTGCTGGTCAACGCCTGTGTCAATAAGCTGCTGCTGTACAGGTCAGTCTGTAACAGCTAGTCACTGTTTATTAATAGCCAGTTTTGTCTCCACTGTGGAGACAGGCTTTAAAGCTACAACATGTGGATTTGTGATGTTATTTGTAGTGATGTATTTACATTGTTGCATTGAATTATGCCACCTTCACATTGGCAGGGTGGTGGACAATGAAGGTACACTACAGCTGAAGAGAAGCTTCCCCATCCAGCATGGATCCCAGCTCGTTCATAGCATCTTCTGCCCCCTCATGTCCTTCAGGCAGGGGGCCTGTGTGGGTAAGAAGTCTCTGAGTGTTCCTGCTGTGGTCTCTGAGTGTTCCCGCTGTGATATTTGAATAGAAAATTAGACCACAGTTTATTGCTTGCTGCAGGCTATCCAGTGTGAAAGAACACAGGTAAAAATAGCATGCTGCTGCTTTTGGATAAAAAAAAAAAAAACACAACAAATTAGCAATTATTCAGCTATTAAGTAACCTACCTTACCAATACAGTGAGTTGCTAACCTAACAGCTGTAATATTAACATAAAAAGTAACACTGCTCTACGTCAGCTCTTGTCCTTACTCGAGTTTTATCACCTTTCATTATTTCCTAGCAATCAACTGCTCCTTTTTTAAAAACGTCTGTCAGTGTATAAATTATTAGCTTTGCATCTCCACTTAAAGGAATAAAACACTAAATTGACTATAGTTGAAGATTAAGTGCTAAGTTTATTCATCATGGTGAGAAATGCAGATTCACTGCTGCTGTTATTTTTTTAAATCAACTACAAGAAGACTCAGACAGCACAGTCCTCCACTGAGGCCAATGTCCCATTTTATAATTTTTTAGGAAAGCGATCTGGATCTGCACCAAAATTTAATTGGCTATGCTCCATCTCTTCACCAAGTTTCATAAAATTCACCCTGGTAATTTTTGCATAATCCTGCTTACAGACGAACGGCACCAAAAACCTAGCTCTACCTCGGTGAGGAGTAATTCCTTAAATGCAGAATTGCAGCCATAACGAGTCACATGAACGGGGCATGTTAACATCAATGACAGTCATAGCCGTATTCCTCCCACCCTCTCTTATCTTGATTTGAAAATGTATCTGATCCGTGACTCAAAAGCTGTGATACAATCTGAACTGTGAATTTCGTGGTCTGTTGCACTACCCTTCAGATTCTTTGGCTTAAAAACCGGCCTCCTGCACTGTGAGATTTCTATCTGTCTGACATGTAAGTCGACAGTCGTGAGAAACAGTGGTGTTCGATCGTATTGCGAGTCCATTGATAGACGATGTGGAGCTTTGATAGCAAGAAACCGCCTGCAGCAATGATGTCGGATGATTTCAGAAGTTTGGGTTTAAATTCTTGCTGTGTGACTGCTGCTGCGACCCGATGTCTACAAAGCAGCCAATCAGGATACATGAAATGACCCAGACCATATTGGCCATCATTTTTATTAAGTTTCATGCCTCAAATCAGTATCATTGTGTCAGATTTTATAAGACCCATCTTGTGCGTTGTGCATTTTCGGCAGCTTATTATTACTGAGGAGAACAGGAAGGTACATGTGTCAAACTGGCCTCATATCTGTTTTTTTTAGCATTTCACCATGTGCTAGATCATCATGATTTAATATACACATTAATAATTGTGTTTATTGAGACAGTGTAGAGACAGTGTGACCTGCTGAGATACTCATTTTCAGTCTGTTGTATTAAAACATTCATGCATTTACACATCTTCCTCGCAATTTCTCCTCACCATTGAACTTATTATGGTTCTCCCTCTGCCACAGTGACCGGCAGCGAGGATGCTTGTGTGTACTTCTTCGACGTCGAACGCAACACCAAGGCGATAGTGAACAAGTTACAGGGTCATGGCGGACCAGTTTTGGACGTCAGCTTCAACTGTGACGAGAGTTTGCTGGCGTCTGCCGATTCCACCGGCATGGTCATCATCTGGAGGCGGGAGCAAAAGTGACTGGCCCACCAATAAAAAGCTTCCATCCACTGCGTATAAACAGCCTGCTGCTCCTTAACCGTCCAATAACAAGTCTGTAGATTTTCACTGGAATGTAACAGACTGCATCAAACGTTCAATGTAATGATACTAAAGTGCAATCAGATAGATGCTGTGTAGGTGGTGGGGATGTCTTAGAAATTTATGGGGTGGGAGGTGGGTTGTGTGTGTGTGTGTGTGTGTGTGTGTGTGTGTGTGTGTGTCAGTACTCCTACAGCTGTGGCTGAGAGATTGTTTTTCACTAAAGAAAGAAGGAAAGAGCACTACTACCATGCATGTGTCATGGCTTACCTCCAACTTGTGTGGATACGACTGAATTCATGTGAAGAGTGCAACATAATCTTCCAGAAAAAAAACAACACTTTGCATCACACTGACAGTCCCTCTGGCATAGATCTAGTTCACTATTTATGTAACTGTTATTCAAGCAGTGTAATCAAGTGTAGTAAAACTGCCTTATTTGCTTTCCGTTGCCTGTTTGCATTTGAGACCATGTGCATGAAAATGGAATCCGAATCAGTCAGTAGGCATATCCAATCGATCATCACAAAAGATAAAACAAGTGTGTTTTTAAGTATGTGTTTGTACTTATCTCTTTGTGTGTGTGTGAGTGAGTGAGTGTGAGTCTGTGTGTGTGTGTATGTGTACTCCATTCAAGCTGGTTGCAGATTCATATAATTTATTTAACACACATACACAATAAATTCCTGTAATTGTCAGTTGTCTTTGTTTTTCTCCTTCACAAAATGTATTTGACACAGTTTAAAAATGGAAATACTAATGTCAGGAGAGCTGGAATAGTGGGGTGGTCAAACCTACAGTGTAGGAGAGTGTTAGTCATTGTGTGGGTCTTCAAAATCTACACAGGATTCCCCCTACATCAATGATTCAGTGGTGTGTAAATAAAATCCTGTTGTGTTTGGACCTGGGCAATATATATATACATAATACAGTGTTAGATATTGTTGCTTATTTTATAGTCTGTGATCTTATTGGATTAAAGCTTCAATAATATTTAACATTTTCAGTCTTTAGGAGAAAGAGAAATTCCTCTGTGTGACCATCAGCCATTACAAAGTCATTTTACTAGTCGGTCCACCATTTTTGATCATGATTGAGTGGTTTGCCATGAAATTTTGTCCATTTATGGTCCTCGAAGGATGACTCAGGCGATCCTCAACCTCCTATCCAATGCTACCGCTAAGTTGGCATTTGGAGTTTTGAGTGAAATCTTTTTAAAGATTCTAATTTACGATTCCTATTTGATAAATGAGGAGGGTGATGACCTCCTCCTGTCAGTCTTCTTCATTACACTCCCAGTAACCTCAGGTGCACTTGCTTCCTCCTAGTTGCTAACTGTTAGCATTCTGCCACATTAAACTAAAATGGTGAACATGATGAATGCTATATGAGCTCGTGAACATTATCACTGTGTCCATGTTAGCGTGCTGACATTTAATCCAAAGCACTGTTGAGACGCGAAGCATGTTTTATTTAATAATTTCTTGTATCTCTTCAAATAATCGATATGTCCTCACATGATCAGTCAGTATCATAATATCGGATTTTGTCAACCAAAAAGGCCAATTAATAAACTATCATGTAGATCAGAGCAACCTTTTTGCTGTTGGTATTGACTCGTATGGGATTACAAAGGTCTTTGTGTGCACATGATTGTGAATGGCTGAAACAAATGAATTTCTCTATTTGGATTATTTTTCAGTGTTCAAGAGGTGAAATGATTGTGCAATAAAAGCAAATAAATTCCACAGAAGGACACTGTTTTAACATAATTGTCTGGTGACCACTTGGGACCACTGAATGGGTCTTGACCCCTCGATTGGAAACCATAACAGACATACCCAAGCTCTTACACCTCCCGTGGAAATTTTCTCTATCTCCTCGGTCCAGACAGGCTGCGGCACAAACACGATATGCTACATTAGTGTTATATTGCCAACACGTTTCCTGTATGAACACATGCGTTCTGATAGGACAATGCAACAAGGCCTATGCAGCACACTGCGTCTTCAGAACGTACAGTGGGCGAGGGTGAGTTTTCACAAATGAGTAAGACGGCCTTTGTTGTGGTGTATCTTGCAGGGAAGTGGGAAGAAAACTAAAAATAAGCATCCAGATGAATCTTTAAGCATCAGTTCTGGGGAGACGGAGAGGCACAACCTGTTAAACCTGGACTATTTGGAGGATGTTCACACAGTTGACGCTCCTCACTATGGAAACATCTCTTCTGCGAGCCACAGTCCGAGCGCACAAACAAAAGACAATGGAAATTATCTCTCATTCAAATTCAAAATAAAAGATGATTGTTTATCGAGAGATTACGCAATCACACAATGGCTGGATTTCAATCAGGCTCTAATTAAGACAGAAAAATATTATTTTCGCCCACACTTTGCATTTTACTTTATAATGTCAGAGGCACATTTATACAGCATGGCTGATTGCATAAGGTTGGCCGTACATGTGAAATTTGAATCATTTGTTCTCCCATCAAGGAGAGAGAGATTCAGTACATTAACTTTTTTAATGTTCACGCAGAGGAGTTCACATTTAAAATGCATTCTATGATCAACAGTATTATTTAAGATTTAGCTATTTGCTTTTAAGGGTAAAATCCTGATACTTGTACGATTGTAGGATATTACCATAAGCATGGAATTTTTAAAAATAAAATGGGTTTTTCTTTTCATGTGACAAACTAATGCTCAGTTTCCGTCATGTTTTCTGTATTAAATGTTACGTTTTAGGGGATGTCATAGTGATCACATCCTGCTTTTCATCATCAATATCAAATACACATTTTAGATTTTTATATAATTGTGGAGTCCTCTCCCTCTTTTGTCCTCCTTGTATGATTTTTTTTTGACACATTTAACAGTGATGGAAAGTAACGAAGTACATTTACTCAAGTACTGCACTGTGATACAGTTTTGAGTTACTACTTTACTTAAATATTCTGGTTTTCTGCTAATTCATGCTTCGATTCCACTGCATGTCAGCAGCAAATATTGCACTTTTTACTCTCATGGTTAACTAGTTAATTTGAAGATATGTTTTAATGATAAAAAATATAATCAACAAAAACAATTCTGATGTCATATTGTAGATTAGGATAAAACATAACTGGGGAAATTGACAAGCTACTCACCAAATAAACTAGACAAAGTAGTTAAATCAGCTCCAGTACCACAGCAACAAACACATTAATGGATTAATAATTGAAATCAATAATATTCATTATTCTGGAATATGCCATTCCTCATAATGAATACTTTTGCTGCTTTCAGTACATTTGGATGATAATACTTTGGTACTTTAAATGAATGTCTTATACCTGCAACAGATTATTTGCACACTGTGGTAATAGCACGTTTAGTACAAGAGCTCCACATTTCAGCTGTCATACAATAAATTTGTTTTTGTTTCATTTTAAGCAAGGCTATGTCACATTTGAAAGAATAAAGTACACAATCTGCTACTTGAAAATAAAATGTTAAATAAATAAGAATTAAAAATATATAATTGCTGTAGTCAACCCGTAGTTTAAGGTAGCTTGTTGCTAATACAGAATTTGAAAACTTTGGATGGACACTGCTGTATACCAGACATTGCTTAGTCAGTCTGTTGACTTTGTGACTCTGTTCCAATTGTGTTAGTGTTACACTATGTTTATCATCATCCTGTGATTTTAGTTTTTAGCCACACCGGCTGCTGCAGAACTGAAGTTACAAAATCTCACTCGATGTTTTATTGTGGGAAGGTTTCATTATATTAGACCCAAAGTTTAAGAAACTCACTTGTTGGATCCAGACTCATTTTTGTTGCCACATAGTTGTTCAGCTTGAGCCTTGTATAACAATTCTATTTCATCGAAATCTCTTCAATTTTTTGTGTGTGTATTTAGACACCTGTCTCCACCTATTTGAAATGTTGCCACTGGAGAAAGAAATCACAAATCCTTCTGAGTCTACAGCGATTGCTGGTCAGTGCTCAGTGGAGAGGAAAGAGTCAAGTTGACTTTTTCATTTCACGCACTGAAGTGTACAAAGATAGACGGATGTGGCATAAATTCAGCTTTTTTTTTGTATATGTTCAGGAACTGCAATGCATACAGGATGTAATTTGCGCTGTCAAGTGGAATTTGCCCTCCACAGAGATCCAAACCGTGTCACTATGCAGGCAGGTCATAACTCAGAGTGCATCAAAAGTAGAGTCTTTATTGATGAGTGGGCAAAAGAACCACCTCAGTTAAACTGTACAGTTACAGAATATCATCTCGCGAAGGAGTGCCAGACGTAAAAATTATGGACCTCTGTTTACTTTTCACTTTCCATATCAACATCTGTACAAGTTGTAATCCCCAGTCTTGAATCTATGAAATGCAGTGGAATGCATGCTAGTACAGTATGCTGTGCAAGTGTCCACATTTAGAAAATTGACTGCACAAAGATACCTATGCCTAACATACTGTAGGTCAGACATTTGGATTACATGAATCTTAATTTGGAGAGACAGCTCAGTGTAATCTAAGCCAGTTTCCATACACCACACACTGGGGTTTTATCCAGCCATGAAGATGGTAACATACTGTGATCCAGACACTCAAATGGTGACATTTATGTTGAGAGGAAATATAAGAGGGCCTGGTAACATTCAAGTTTCCTTCACATTAAGTGCCACTTCATTTCCTCTTTTTTTTTTTTTTTTTTTTTTATGATGAGAGCGTAACAGTACTTCAAAACATTCCCAAGATCATCATTTGCAAATAAATGTACATTTGCTAATGATTTTTTAACATGACGTAATATACATCATTATTCAAGTCATTAAATCCTATGGTCTGTTTGCAAAATCCAAGTGTTGTTTTCTAATTATTCTGTTCCCCTTTTCATTATCCATCTGTATTTCACATTTGCTTGCACATTAGCATTAAAAAATCAGACTACATTTTCAGTTGCAGAAATCCATTTAAAGGATAAATTCCCATTCGATGATTGCTCAATTTTGCATGATTTTGAGACCACAAGATGAGGCTGCTTTCATATTGACTCAGTGTTACTGGAACCTATTTTATCATCATTATTTCTGTCTTTCTCTCCCTGCCTCCCTCCCCTCTTCTCTCTCTCACACACATACATACACACAAATGCTATATAAAAACACACAAGCAGGAATATACATTCCTGTACAGTCTATACAATATGAAATCAAGTCATATTTCAAAATAGTGTCATCTGCTTAACATGTATTGTTTACAAATAAAGGAAAACAGGCAATTTTTTTTGTTTTTCTTGTTTTTTTTTTTGTTTTTTTATGATACAAAGAAACCTGACACGCCCTAAATCAAGTCCAAAAAATCAAGCATGTTAGGGGCTTCTGGGTTCACAACAGCTATTTAAATGTATCCAAGGTTATTGGGTCCACTTGATATTCTGCAGTCTCTTTCGAATTACATGAAAAGGCGTCCAGGGTGGTCTATCAATCCATTCAGACCCTTTAAGTTCCTTGATGTGTTTCAGAGTTAGTAACGCTCTGATCAACACTTTCTATTCACAGTCCACGGCACATTTCTTCAAGGATTTCAACCCTCTCTGTGTCTGTTTTGTGCCTCATGTGACACAGAAACTAATTCTCAGCTGAAAGCTCTGGGGCGTGTCCCTCTGAAATAAGGCAACATTATTTTAAAATGGCATCTGTC